GGAATCTGCCTTCCTGACCTTCAATGTCGCCGTAATAGCTACATGTCTTGACTGTGATATCTTTCTGGGAGGTAGACACCCACGACAACAACATACCACTTACACCTCATTCAAAGGATATAGCGTTCATAAATGGTACGGGCCCGCTCCACCTCTTTGTATCTCAGCTCGAAGTTGATGTAGGAGTGCCAGGCCTGCTCCTCAGGCTGCCATTCCATCCAGCGCTCAAACACCTGACGGGCACCGGCAACATTGCCCAACATCTCCTCCATGTATGTGTACTTGTACCTGATGATACAGAATCATCCAAAGATGCCTGCTGTGGTCAAAATGACTTCAACATTTCCAATGCTTTGTTACATTTAAGTTTTAATTACATAGCTACGGACCATTTAGGATTATGACTCACAGATTATGTGACATTAAAAAACTGTATTTTAAGGGAAAGTAGAATGTAAAGTTCAATATATAAAAGCATTATAACTGCAAATAAAACCAATACACAGCAAGTGGTACTTTCCTAATTCACGGAAGGAAGGCTGCTGTGTACAACCAGAGGCTTACCAGAACTGGTTGACTCGGGGCAGGGTTGTTATGGCTCGGTCCCAGATATTTCGGGCATGGTTGACCTGGCGGTTCTTCATTTCCATTTCCGCGTATTTCAGCCAGAGTGTAATATTCCGATAGTCTACATCTAAGGCACGCTCGTATATGGATCGAGCCCTTGACAAACAAGACATGGAGAACATCAAAAGCAGTACCTTTAAGATATGCAGTAGTCACTTCAAACTAGCTGCAATCCCCTACTGTTTGTTGGATATCTACCCTGAGTCAAGTTCTGGTCATAAAAAGAGAAGAACTAAGTTACTATATAATCTTAGAGAGAAGCACGCAATTATTTCATAATGTCACAAACATTATAGTCAAGGTCTGCACAGGAAGCAGAGAGAGAAATGGCAATGTTTGGAGGAAAGGCTAAGTAGGAGGAATTCCAAACTGAGAATATAAGAGAGAGTTCCAGTTTGTTCAAAGTCAAGGCTGGTGGAGAAGGGTGCTTTCGAGGGGTCAAGGCAGAGAGTAGACAAATGTCACAGTCAAGAGCAATGGTGTGCTTAGGAATTGGCAAGGACATGGTCACTGCAGAGCAGGGCTATGAGGGAGAGTGCAGAGAGGCTGGTCAAGAGGAAGTGAAGGCCACAATTTTTATCTTGACAACAGATTTCAGCGGAACCCTTTTATTTTTGAAATATGAACAGAGATAAAACACTGCTTCTTTAGTTACAGGAGTACTAGCGGCAATACCCACACACAGAACCTCCTGCAACAACACTCCATGACTGTGCTTCCGAGTGCCCTGAGGAGCCTCAGAAGAACCTTAAGATGCCATGGAGCAGAAGCTGGAAAGCACTAACACAGCACAGTCCTGTGCTTTACTTGTCCTAGTTTTCACATGACAGTTTATCGTATTTTTATATATAAATATTATACTTATGGCAATGTTACCTTTGAATTTCCTTTAGACTTTCTTCCCATTGTGCATACTTTATCCAGTTACTAATCACAGTCCTGTTTTTCCTTATGTTATCTTCAAAAGTCTGAAAGGCAAGGGAGGGTGGAGGTATATTAAAGAGAAACTGACTTTGCCTTTTGCCTTGTAATAAAAGTTACTCATTTCATTCTTTTTAAGAGACATTATGTCCTAGATGCTGAAAAACAGGAGGCTCTCTACAGGAGGTTACAATGACAAGTGTTTCTCTCGTTTACGAAGACAACAAAATACTGGAGACGTATGAACTACTGGAAGAATTATTGGTAATTTCTGCTGTTGCCCATAATGATAACTAGTACTTTAATACACTCTACTCTCATTCCTAATAAGAAAACAATTTTTAACATTACCTTCACGTGTTCTCAGTAATTCCCAGAATGTGACATGTAACTTCCACAGTATTGGTGGATTAAGTAATCCCAAATCTTAGCCTGAGGTCAAGTCACCTAGGTTCTCTCTGAGTTCTCTCCTGGCCCTAGCTCCTGCTGTGGGTAGGACATGGACAGGTGTGCACGGTGCACTTCAACACTCACCTTCCTCTTCCGCAGTTTGTAATCATTGAGCTCCTCTTCGTCTGTGATCTTCTGCTGAGGCGGGGGTGGAAGGAGCTCGAGCTCTCTCTCTTTAGCCTCTCTTAAGAGCTGCTCGGCAGTTATCTGTACCTCGGCTGGCGCTTTGTTTTTCACCTTTTAAGAAAAAAAGACATTTCTGTTTTGGGTAGTGTAGTGTTCTCCACACAAGATCTTAAAACCCATGAACATCTTCCAGGATGTGAACTTCGTAAGTATGAGGACAAGAGGACCTCTTTGAATGACATGTTCAATTCTCCATGAGACAGAATGGGGGTGGGGGTGGGGGTGGGGGGATGACCCTGCATTTTCTATCTAATACACGGCATCTACGATAATGGGAATGGGGGTGGGGGGACAACCCTGCATTTTCTATCTAATACACGGCATCTACGATAATGAGTCCATAGTGAAAATCTCAAGAGAAAAAGGTGACAAAATAACATCAATTTTTCCCTTTTAGGAGAGTAGACTAAGCACTACTTCCTGGCATTATAACTTGTTTACAGGATTCCTCTACTTATTTTAACCCACCTAGTGGGCAGGTTGGTTTTCCACGACATTTGAAGTCAACTGAAACTTACTAAGTTCTCATCATCAGCCTGGAAGCTGCTTGAGAACACACAGCTGTGTTGCTCAACACACTCAACACAGTAGCTCCAAGCCAAACGTGTTCTGAGTTAGATGGACCCTACGTGCAAGCACTGCTCTAATTTGCTTTTTCCTTTCTTTCTTTCTTTCTCTCTCTCTCTCTCTCTCTCTCTCTCTCTCTCTTTCTTTCTTTTTTGGTTTTTCGAGACAGGGTTTCTCTGTGTAGCTTTGTGCCTTTCCTGGTACTCGCTTTGTAGACAAGGCTGGCCTCGAACTCACAGAGATCTGCCTGGCTCTGCCTCCCCAGTGCTGGGATTAAAGGCGTATGCCACCACTGCCTGGCCTAATTTGCTTTTTTACTTCTGTGATCAAAGACTTAACGGCGCACGCCTTTAATCCCAGCACTCCAGAGGCAGAGCCAGGCAGATCTCTGTGAGTTCGAGGCCAGCCTGGTCTACAGAGAGAATTCCAGGACAGGCTCCAAAGCTACACAGAGAAACCCTGTCTCCAAAAACCAAAAACAACCAACCAAACAAAACCACCAACCAACCAACCAACCAAACAAACAAAAAAAACTCTAACAAAAGCAACTCAGGGAAGGAAGACTTGATTTGGCTTACACAACCGGGTCACAACCCATCATGAAGGGAAGTCGAGGCAGGAACTGATACAGAAGCCATGTAGGAGCACTGCCCACTGGACTGATTGCTCAGCCTGCTTTCTTATAGTACTGAGGACCACCTGCCCAGGTGTGACACTCCCTGAGAAGGCTGGGACATCCACATCTATCATTAGTCAAGAAAATGCCTTACAAGCGACCTGATGGAGGGATGTTATCAATTGATGTTCCTCTTCCCAGATAACTGTAGCTTATGTCAAGTGGATAAAACCTAGCCAGCACACACAGCCTGGCTTTTATGACTCGGTATAAAGGCTACCACATTAGACTTTTACAATAAATACACGTGGAAATGAGAACTTGTCTTAAAACAAAAATGCCACGTAGAAGAATCGGACCAGAGAAAGACTGCATGTAAAGACATGTCAGTTGTCCAGCACTGGTGACATATTAGCCACCGTTGGAAATATAACAATGCACTGTTTAATTTAAATTATGCCATTGCACAGAGCCCATTCCTCCCATCCCCTCCACTGTCTAACTTTCAGCCTGCAAGTTTTAGCTTCCTCCACCAAGTTTACCTTCAAGTTTACTGGCACCCCTCTGGTGCTTGACCATGGCATGGTCTACAGTGCCTGGGTACATCTATCAAGGTTGCCATTTCGCCCTTCTTGTTTTACTCCAGCAGTGCTACCCCGAGTGAACGTGTATGGGGGGGGGGGGATACCGGGGGATCCCCAGAGTCTAGCAAAGCTAAGAGTTTGCTTAACCGAACTGATCACTCGCATTACAAAAACACCACCCTGGAACGAAGGCTGGGCAGCCGCGAGACAAGCTCGGAGGGACAAGACCCCGCACCACGCCACCGACTACCTGTCTTCTTGGACCTAGGGGCCGAGCTCGCTGTCCCAAGTCTCCGGTGCAAGACACCGCAGATGCTGAGCTGGGGCCCTTCGCGGTTGCCTACCTTGGCCACTTTGGGGATCCGCTGTTTCCCGGCCGCTGTAGATGCCGCCATGTCTGCAGCCGCTGAACCGGAGCAACCCCGACACACACCTGAACCTCAGAAGACCGGCTTCAAAAATGAGCTCACACCAGAGAGCCGGCCCACAACAAACTAGATCCCGGAACCGGAACCGGAACTCTCCAGGGCGACCTTTGACCGCCGCACGAATCGGGCGAAACGTCACGTCGTTTCCGTTAGCAACCGTTTGCGCGTCCTCTGTGTAGCGGGGCTGCGTGCAGGAGCTGCAGGTGAGGTGGGTATGGCGGGCGGCGCCGCTGGGACGCAGGACCCGGGAGGCGAGGGCGCAGTCAGGTGTGTCTTCGGGATGCGTGCAGCTGTGAGCAGTGGCACCTGCGAGGGACGTGGGAGCTCCTCTCGGATGTGGAAACTCGGTGGAGGAGGAAAGAGCGGCGAAGGAAACCACGACCCGGCTCGCAGCTGCTGACCCAGCGGTGCATGCTGGGCTTTATAGTCCCTGAGTTCACGCCCCCTCGTCTTGGGCTTCTCTCTGATTGGGCCAAGATAATGATCTCTGGAACGCGGACTTTTAAATAAACAGAGGTACTTTTGAAACAAGATGTTAAGGAAAGCTGGAAATAAGTCAGTAACAAAACACCTAACCCTATGGTCAGAAACTGATGTGTAAATTTGTAGTCTGTGAATTTGTTTTCATTATTTCAATTCTGTTATCTTTAATGCCCTTGACTATAAAAAGACAGAAATAACTATTAGTCCTTAAGATTGAAAAGTATATGTAAAGTGCTCACGCTGGGCGGTGGTGGCGCACACCTTTAATCCCAGCACTCCCGGAAGCAGAGCCAGGCGGATCTCTGTGAGTTCAAGGCCAGCCTGGGCTACAGTGAGTTCCAGGAAAGGCACAAAGCTACACAGAGAAACCCTGTCTCGAAAAACCAAAAAAAAAAAAAAGAAAAAGAAAGAAAGAAAGAAAGAAAGAAAGAAAGAAGGAAGGAAGGAAGGAAGGAAGGAAGGAAGAAAGAAAGAAGAGAAAGAAAAAGAAAGAAAGAGAAAAAGAAAAAGAAAGAAAGAAACCCAAAACAACAACAAAAAACAAAACCAAACCAAACAACAACAGCAAAAAACCCACAAAAATAAAGTGCATGTTGGTAAGTATAATACCTGACGTTACTTCAAAACAGAGTGACCGTATAATTAAGAGAATTCTTTTAATTAAAATAAAATTTTAAGAGAAGTTTGGGGTTGACAGTAAAATTTAGGGGAGGGTGAGATTCCCCTACTCCGTGCTTCCCCACCTCCAAAGGCCTCTCCACTATCCATTCCCCACCTGGTTCATTGTCAGCACTGGTATTGATGCATTATCAGTTAAAGGTGACTGTTTATGTAACATACAATTCACCCTTGTACAGTCTGCTGTTTAGGACAAAGGCAAAGCTGTCTGTATCTGCTGTTTCAATAATCTACAGAGTTCCAAGCCTCCAAAATCCACTGGGTACCACCTTTTCATCCTTCTCTCTTAAGCATCTGTCAGTACTCATCTTTGTTTGTTTGTTTGTTTTCTGAAAGACAGAGTTCCTCTGTGTAACAACTGTGTAGAACTTACTCTGTAGACCAAGCTGGCCTTGAACTCAGGATTTTCTGCCTCCCAGTGCTGGACATTTTTTTAACCGCTTTTTTATTATTCCTTTGAGAGTTTTGTACAATGTGTTTTTGTTTGTTTGTTTGTTTGTGTTTTTGGTTTTTGTTTTCTCGAGACAGGGTTTCTCTGTAGCTTTGCACCTTTCCTGGAACTCGCTCTGTAGACCAGTCTGGCCTCAAACTCACAGAGATCCGCCTGCCTCTGCCTCCTGAGTGCTGGGATTAAAGGCGTGCGCCGCCGCCGCCGCCGCCGCCGCCGCCGCCGCCGCCACGCAGCAGTGTGTTTTAACTATATTCACTCCCGCCAACTTTTCCCAGCTCCACCTCACTTCCCCATCCACCCAACTTTGTGTCTATTTTTTTTTTTTTAATCTTTTAGGACCTATTTGTGTTGCCCAAATATTCCTCACTGTGTGGTCTTCCACTAGAGTAGTCAGCTTACCAGGGACTACACTCTTAGAGAAAACTAATCCTTTCCAGCAGCTAATTGCTAATTTCTCCACTGTCAGGTATGGGGTTGTATGCCTCACTCTCCATTTGGGGATTTGGTCTGGCTTGAGTTTGCACAGGTTTTGTGCATGCTGTCCCAGATGTTCATATGTGCAGCTGTCCTGCTGTGTCCAGATGTTTTCTGTAGTCACCCACTGCCTCTGGCTCTTACACTCTTTGTGTCTCCTCTTCAATGATGATCCCTGAGCGTTGGGGTAGGGACTTGAGGCTAAGGCACTGGTATTTAAGCAGGTAGCAGGTATGGGTGCAATACTCATTTTTTCAAATATCTCTGTAGCTTTATTCTATGGTGATATTTTATTTGTGCTGAAATGTGATTTTATTTGTATGTTAATGAAGTTGCCTGGAGATCAGAAGTCACAGCGAGCCATAAGTGGGAGTCTGGCAGTGGTAGCACACGCCCTTAATCTGATCACATGGCAGGCAGAGTCTCTGTGGTCAAGGATACATCCAAAGCAAGGTGACCTGAACTTTTAATCCCAGTATCAACCATAGAGACCTGGAGGTCTGTAAAGACAGGCAGCGATGAGGAAGTCATGTGGTTGGGTTTACAGCCAATGAGAAGGCAGAATGGAAAGGCAATAAAAAGACAGTACACAGGAAGAAGGTCTCTCTTTAGGAGGAAGGATGGAGGCGAGTGGTAAGATAAGGAGTTCTTAGCTTTTGGCTACTGCTCTGATCTCTGGGCTTTTAGCTCTTTATTTGGCTCTGTGTTTCTTCTTTAATAAAACCGTTTCATCTACATTACTCTTTGTAGATGATTGGAGTCATGTCTTTTCAGATTGGTGCCTTTCATTTAGTAACATGAGTTTAAGTTTCTGTTTCACAAAACATTTCAAGATTGCTGTCTTCCAGGGTTTCAGGTTCCATATAGGTAAGCTCTTGTTTGGAATGTAGCCACAGCTGTAGCTGACACAGAGCCTTATTATTAATTATGAAAGTTTAGCCTTAGCTTAGGCTTTTCCTCCAACTAGCTCTTAAAACTCAAATCAACCTGTCTCTATTAGTCTACATTCTGCCCTGTGGCTCGGTTACCTCTCCTCTGTACAGTATGTCCAACTTGTCCCACATCTCAGTAGCATCTCTCTGCACCTAGATTCCTTCTCCTCTTCCTTTCTCTTCCTGGAAATCCCGCCTGTCCTCTCCTGCCCAGCTATTGGCCGTTCGTCTTTTTCTTACACCAAACACAGCAACATATCTTCACACAGTGAAATATTTCAAATATTCCACAACACACAGCTGTTGATATTTTCTTTATATTACGACTGTATGCCACCATTGTGGGTTGGGTCAGTCAATGAGCCCTTTCAATATCTAAAGCAGTTTTCAAATAGTTATGGAAAGTTCTAGACAGGCCAGTTCTCAGTTAATTTTCTAGAAGAGTGGTATCTTAGCAGGTTTGAAGTGACAATTGTTGAAGCCAACCACCTGGGAAAACGTGTCCCCTGAGTCCCCCTAGACGTGTTTACTCTGACCATAAGACATTAACTGCCCAGTGTTGTGTGTAATTGAACCCATCATCTCAGATTTATAATGGACTTTTCTCTCTCTTGGGGACAGGAGAAAAAATGTCTGTCCTCACTTCTCCCAGAGGGAAGGCTGAAGTGGTTCATTGCCGAAGAACAGAATCCCAGGATATCTTTTGTATCAAAAGCCTCATTAGAAAATTTACTCAGAAGCTGTTTGGGAGGCTCAATATCATCTATCTTCTGTAAGTACACAGCTGAGTGAGTTCGGCTTGGTTGGGCTGGAGAGATGCCTCAGCAGTAAGGGTCCCGAGTTCAATTCCTAGCAATTCCATGATGGTTCACAATCATCTGTGATGAGATCTGGTCCCCTCTTCTGGTGTGCAGGCATATATGCAGGCAGAATACTGTATACATAATAAATAAACCTTAAAAAAAAAAAAAGGAGTCCCATTGAAAAAAATAAATAATGCTTGGTAGTTTTACTACAGGGCTGGGGAATGGAGCTTAGAGACGGAGCTTTTGCCTAGCTTGCATAAGGCCCTGGGCCCAGCAAGAAAACAACCACCACTACCACCATTTTAAAACTTTATCAAAAAGGGTGCATTCATCTCATGGAACTTAGAGTGGGCAGTTCAGTGCACAGTTGAGAAATGTGTAGCAGGAAATCTAGGGGACAACCAACCTCTGTGTCCTCTAACAGTGTGTAAATTGAAGACTTCTCATGGGCTTTAGAGTCAAGCAAACTTGAATTGAAACCTCAAGTGTCCCACTCACTAGTACAACCTATTGGGGCACAATATTAACATGACCACATTTTGAGAACTTACTGCATATCGGGTGCTATGCCTCCCTCCTATCAGCATTGTGTTACTGAATCACTCCCCTACTTCTGTGAGGTTCCTGCTGTTGTTCCCATTTTATGGATGAGAGTGGAAAGTGGTACCCCTGTACCACCCCCTGTGATATCATCCTGCTGTTAATGTTCTCCTGTTGTCTCTTTTTACATGGAGTCAGGGACAGTTTGTGTGAGTCATAGAAAGCAGCCGAAGTGATACTTTGTGACTTCAAGTCTATGGTGCACAGAGGCTTGCAGCTTTTCCCAGGCTTCTTGTATTGCTCCCTCTCAGAACTCAGCTGCCATGCCGATCCAAGTTTGCGTCCCTTAGCTACAGGCCAGTGTTCAAAACAGCTTCAACCGAACTCTCGGCCGACGGCCACCATCTGCTGCCAGCCACGAGTGTCAGTCATTCCAGCCACAGAGTCTTCACAGCTTCCAGCCACAGCCACGTTTGACTCTTATCACAAAACCTGTTCATCTGAACTCAGTGAACTCACAGAATCACAGGCCCATCACAAGTCTTTACCTTAAGCCAGTAAGTTCTTTGAGGTGGTTTGTTACATGTGCAGAAGGTAAATGTTTTGTTTGAAATGCATAATTCATTCCTTTGGTTAGGATCATCATAAGAAGAATAGGCCTAGAGGTCTGTAGAGGAGAAAGTGGAATAG